ACCCCACCCCACCCCACCCCTTCCAGCCTTTCTGCAGGAAAAAAGCAACACAAATTCTTTGTACAACAATAAGCCTTTAGTTGAGGTTATATTCGTGTGAATTAATGAAAGGGTTTTTTCTCCCTCAATAGCGTATGTGAGGAGAGATCTTTGATCTCTAGATGGATTAAAAAGCATTCTCTCTGATTGTTGACCAAGTGCAAAAATTAAAAAGTCTGTACATTATGCAACCAGGGCTTGGTATCCTAAGAGTAAAAAGAACTCCTTTGGGACTTTAGAGCAACTCTTTTTAATGCTGGAGTATGTTTGAATTCCTCCACTGCAAAGGGCAGAGAGAAGAGCCTGCTGCAGCATGACCTGTTACAAACTTGTGTTTTGAACTTAGAGCCACTTAAATCATGCTCAAAGGTAGATTGAACTTACTTCTGAAGCTCAATCTTTTCATGCTTACACTTTTATTTAAGGAGTTTTCTGGTTGTGTGCACAGTAATTCTGCCAGAATAGAGCTTGTTGCACTGACAGATGCACAAACAGACACCAGTGTCCTGGTGTCTCACCCTGCATGACTTGATCCCATGGTTATACCATGGAAAGGGCATGAAGTGAACTCACACAGCATACTGTGCTTTACAGCTGATTCCTCTCCTCAGGTATATTCACTCCATAGCCTGGAGTCTATAAATATTTCAGGAATTATATCTTCAGTCTTGCTCTGGCTCTTGTGCCCATCCTGGTCTTGTTAAGGCTGTCTGGAAATGGTCTGAGGGCTGTCTGTCAGAGCCAGATCACCTGGGGAGTTGTCCCTCAGCTGAGCTGCCTACGAGCTCTGTGAGTGCATCTCCACGGTTCCAGGGCTGTGCAGGGTAACTCAAGGCTGCAGGAACTCCAAGACCCAAGCCCTGCCTCTGACCACCCGTGCACACAGCAGCAGCAGCAGGTCAGGAAGTGTTCTGGGATGGTGGTTTTCTTCATGGGCTCAGCTCTAGTGAGCAGTGTGACCATACAACTGTGCTTTCAGCCTTTGATATATGAAAATAACAAATTCGAATACTCTGCTCACGGTGTAGGAAACGTAACTGGAGATGTCTGATTTTGGTAGCCAAATAGATAACATGCTCCACACCCTCTACTCAATCCTAGATTTCCCCTACAGAAACAAAAATCTTTTGACCAATCTCCTGGGGTTTTTTTTATTTTTGATATGTAATTCTCACTCATTTCAGTATATTAATGAGTACCAAAAACATGTGAAAGTGTGAAGTCTTCTGTGTTTTAAGCTACAACATTTGAGGATATGGAGGTTGCTATTCAGAAGTCCCACAGACAAACTGACAGCACCAGCAAAAAAGAAGTTTCAGGAGTATCAACAACCAAAACATATATAGAGGCTTACCCAGTGCTGGGTCAGAGAGATTTTCATGTGCATTATGTCTTTTGGCATGTTGAGCAGGCATATTTTGAGATACCAGCACTGAGCTATTTCAGGACAGTGGAGCTATGAACTCTGATTTAAAAAACCCCTGAAGGATTGTTTTCTGAACTCTTTTCTGCTCTGCCTGGGGACAAATGAATCTAGAGGGATAGCAGAATTCTGACAATTGTTCTCAAGGTGCTTTGTCAGCCCCTGTAATTTTTTTTTTAATTTTTTTTTTTTTTTTTTCCTCCTCTCAAACATTTCTTCTGCTTCCCTTCACTCTCTCCTGGGTGCTCTAATTGCCTTTTCACCCTCTTTAGCGGTGAAGGTGAAGTTTTTCTTTAAGCATTTTTTTAACATTTTAACTGTATTTTCTTATTGAGCAAGCTTATTTTAAGTTCAGCCAATATTTTTCTTCCGGATCTGGTACAGTTCCCATTGTTTATGCATTTGGGTTTGCTGGGAACAGTCTCTTTGCAGGTACAATTTTGTGAACTATATGAGAAAGTATAAATAAATCTCACTGGAACTTGTCTTTTAATTTCAACACAAATCCTGAAGAGGGCATAAACAACCCAGCAGAAAAAAAAAGGATCTAGCTAATGGATTTCAGCCATTTAAGATGTTACACAAGGCACAGCCTCCTGTGCTTTGTTGATTCTGTGGAGTGATTTTAGTTTCACAATAGTTTTGTTCCTCTTTCTTGCTAAGTTCTTCCTCTTTTGTGCATGACTTTTTTTCTTGTTTGTAACAATAAGTCTTGCAAGAGGGAAATGCAATTTTCCAGTTCTGGTTTGAGGTTGTTTTGCTGTAGTCTTAAAATTCTGATTGATACCAGCCTAATGAGTTAGACAAATGCTGAAGTATTGCTGTGAGAAATTGATCTTATCACTATCTGTCAGAGGAAGACTATACAGAAGATTCTAGAGTCATTTAGAAAGTGCAGCTCTTTAATACAAAAACTTGTATCCCCACAAAATCAGCTTCATTTCCTCGCCCACATCATTGCACATTAACATCAGGTGCTATCTGAGTGCTCAGGATTTTCTCTTTCTAGGTTACAAAACCCGAGTGAATTCAAGGTGATGGCTTTGCAAACTGGGAGCAATTGCAATTTACCGTTCCGCTTCCAGCACTCTGCTGCTCTAGCTGAGGCTTTTGAGTGTCAGCTTCATTGACTGGTCTGTTTCTGTAGCATTTTCTGGTAATTTCTGCAGAAAATACTATATCAACAATTATAATGTTTGCTACTGTGTTTAAAAGCATCTGAATATTGGTTTTAGCATGTCTGCATGACAGCAAGCATTATTGGGAAGAAATATTAAATGTACAAATTGGTTAGAAACTGCAATTACAAAAGGTGGTTTCTGAGTCCTGCCAAAGTAGGTGTTTTCATTAGCTTTCTTATACTTATTCCATCCATTAAAGGCCACAAAAATACAAAAGGGATCTGTTGGTTTATTGCAAGCCAAGTGCTATCAAATATCATATTGTAGACCTCAACACCCCCAGCATCCCAAGTACAGTCTGTGCATACAGGATTGTTCTGTGAAAACTCCTTGGGAAAATGCATGTAGGCAGCAAATGTGTACTCACTGTACCATCTTATTTTAATCTGTGCTTTGATCAAGAGTGTTCACTGACTTCTTTTGTGGCTGCACACAAATAATATAAAAGCCCCAAGTCTGTGAGACAAAAGCAACTGTAAAGACTTTTTCAGGAGCAGAAAGCAAAATATGGGAAAGGGAATTTCACCTGTCAGCAAGACAGTGTCCTCTATAGCTGACGCCTTTAGCTATTTGAAAGCAAGCAAGAGTATAAAATCTCTAGGGTTTGTTTCAGAAATGCTCAGCAAGGAATCTAAATACTGCATTGCCCAATTCAGGCAGTGAAAAGAGCTGAGCGTCCCTTGTAAAGTAGGGGCAGAAGGTCCTAAAGATCTTGTAAAGAGACATCCAGCTCCCAGGAGACATTAGGACTCAATTAATTCACTCTAGCCTGTTGGAGCCTTGCAAGTAAACTCTGGATCAGGTCCCAAAGGCAAGATGAAACACCCATAAGGATAAAAAAACCTGTCTCAAGTAGAGTTTAACTTTCTAAGTCCAGCCACTTCATTATAACCACATGCAAATTGGGAAGCCACACTCCCCAGGGTTTTTCCCTCATTAAATATAGCTGAGAAGTTAGATACTTCTGATTGCAAAGGCAGAGCTGGCTGTGCAGGTAGCACCATCCTCTTTGGGCTTTGCTGGAGTGGCCCACTTTGGCAGGCCCACATGTGCTGGAGGAGCTGGGCTTAAGCCCTGAGCAGGGCAGTGGTGGCTGCAGCCCCAGTGCAGCTGCCGGAGTGGGGCCCCCGACAAGCAGGAGATGTGGGAAGCCTTTAGTGGGGACAGGAGGGAGGAAAAGGACAGGTCACTCTGTAATCTACCTGCCTGAAATGACAGAGGAAGATGTGTTTTCTAGTTTGTTTTTAGTATTTTTGCAATTTAAGGGAAACAGTTACTGGATGTGAATCAGCAAAATGTCAGAGTTCCCCTGTCTCCTGGCATATGTTCCCTCAATGCCTTTGCTTCCATGCAGATACTTTCATGGCTAAATCTTTTGCATTTGTTAGAACCAAAATCTGTAGCCTATGTCTGTCTCATTTGTAGTCAAGTCTTCAGGCTCAGAGGCTTAAGTGGGGACTTTACAATGTTTAAGCACTCTGCCAAGTAACTGCCTGTAATTTTTAGTAACATAAGAGAGGAAGAAACCAAGATGTTAGCAGAAGATTAGAATAAATAATGCTGTAACTGTCTTATTCTTTTGATGAATGAGCATAATTTTGAATACTGAATATATGGATGACTGCATCTAATCACAATGAGACAAAATGAAATAATGTGGTGTACAAATATCTATGCATAGGACAAGTGTGTCCTGGCATTTTCAATAGCTCCATGTTCTTCTGCACAAGTGAAAGCATTATTCACCAGAATCCTGCCAAAGACCTCTTATCTCAAATTAAGGAAACGGGAAGAAGGAAACAATAGGCACAAATTAAAATATAGGAAATTCCATTTCAACATGATAAATAATATTGTGTTTCTGTGATGGCGATCAAACACTGGTACAGGTTGCCCATAACAATTGTGGATCTCCCTCTTTAGAGGCACTTAAAACCCAATTTAACATGGCCCTGAGAAGCCTCCTTTGATGGACACTGATCAGAACAGAGGGCTTGAAATAGATATCTCCAGAGATGCTTTCCAACCTCAGTGACACTGGTTCCGTGACCTGTAAAAAGATAAGCCTCTCTGAGAGTGCTTGATGTTTGTTTCCCTAGTAACTTGCTGTCTCCAAAATGTTACTTGATCTCTTCAAAGAAGTGAATCTCAGGAATGTTACCCAAAAAATTAAATAATTATTTATTTTGCCTTTACATAATTTTGACTTTTTTTTTTTTCCCTTGTAAACACTTCAAGATCTTCTCTAGTCGTTGAATAGACTAATTTGTGTTCTTTTTTTGTATGCTTTTCTGCAAGCTATTTTCTGCAAGCTATTTTTTCATTTCTGCTTCTCTTCTGCCCACAGTTTTTCACAAACATTCTCTTCCGTTCTATACCAGCTTGGAAGAATTGGTAGGACCAGACTGGATAATATTGTTGACAAATGAGCTATTTACCATAATAAAAAATTATTTTTTTGTCACTGTCTACCCCCCTTAAAATGATGAATGTTAGGAGGTATGATTGCATGAATTAAATATCCCGTTTCTTCAGAAAAGTCACTTTGATATGAAGCTCCCAAACATTAACTTCCTCCCTCTTCTTGCATCTCTTTTTATCTACAAATCTTCTCAATTCATATGACTACTCAAAAGGAATGTTTATTGAAGATATTTTTTAAGAGGCTAGGAACTTTACAAATAGTTGCCTGCATATTTTTGCATATGCATTTATTTCAATTCCTTAATATAAAGTAGGCCATGAGGTTTTTAATCCACATTATAGGCTTATAGCTAGCATTTTTACACACAGATTTGAAGACTTTCTTATATTTCCTCTATTTTATTTTTCCTGTTCTTTGCTTTTCTTTTTAATAAAACTTAATTATCATTATAAATGAGTAACTCAGAAAACACAAAAAGGTGAAAGATTTTTTTTTTCTGGATTTTAGAAAACTGGGTTAACAATACATAGATAACAAAGGCATCTGAAGGTGATGAGAAGAGGCAACTCACAAAGGCTGACACTGTCCTCAGCAAAGTGGCATTTCTCATCTATGCCCAGCTCTGAAAAGCTCAGAGATACTGCACTGTAAGCACTGAGAGAAGTTACAGCTCAAATACTCACTCCTACATGAAATGGTTTTCTTTAGCAGCTGTCAACAAAGCAGCTGTTTTCAATTACAGAATTTATTACTATTTTTTAAATTAGGTAATTAATTTATTATAAAATAGGTGTCCTCCCTTTACTGAAATGTTGAACAGCTATTCTTGCCTGAGGGCTGTCATCTACAGCATTCCTTCATATTCCTGTCTCTGGACTTTTTAAAGAAATCTGGGTGAGGTATGTAGCCATTTCCATTGAATGTAATTAAATTCTTCATCTGTTTGCTTATGTGACCTTGAAAATTAAAAGGACAATCCTTATGATAGTCAAAGTTTTGCTTCTAGAGCTGAGGTAGTTTCATGTCCTATGCATTATGAAAAGTATAACATCACTCAATATCTAATGGTTTCCCTTCATCCATGTCCCCCTCCTGCCCAACTGTAACTCACTGTTTATTGTTTCAGTCTCTGACTGAAGGATAGGCATGTTTGTTGAGATGAAAACTGGCCCCTATAACTCCTTAACAAAGTTTTAGGTCATAACTTGAGCTGATTATCTGTATAGTCTTGAATTTCACCCTATGTGTTGCTGCATTAGTCTAAGCTGCTGCTCTTTTTCAAGTTTCAAGCTGCAGTCTGTATTTTATTTAGTTGCAATACCCTAGGAGTGGCTGTAGAGTCCTTTCTCACGTAGAGCACAAAATAAATACAGTACTGCTTGTCACTGAATCTTCACACACAGCAAATCTGTTAGCTGTTCTTAGACTAAATTACTCTTTGACTCTAAATTAGTTGGACAGATGTCTTTTTTCACAGTGGTGAAAAAAGACAATTTCAGAAGCATGTCTTCCTCTTTGGTACTAGAGGAATGGCAATGTGTATATTAATAGCTTCGAATCACTTTGCAAGCCAGGTATATCAAAAGCAAGTGAAGTGAACTGCAAGGAAACACTGATGTGAGTAAGAGCAATGCAGGACCTGATGTCTTTAGAGTATCCTCTTTGTAGAGGAGAATGTTCTTTTAAATGTTGAAGCAATCGCTCTGATCTCAGCCTCCATTTGAGAAAGGGTTGTTTGAAACAAGAGCCACTGCAACTTATACCCAGAATTAGATAATTTTACAAGTCTTATTTTAAAAATTCCATACAAATTTTTGAAACCTGGACTCACAATCTGTTTTCATGCTGAGTAATCCTTAATGTCAGGCATCACTTGGGATGCTGGAGACAGCTGTTAAGTTGTACTCTACCATGGTGGCAGTCTTGGTTTCTTGGATTATTAGTGGGTTACAACTGTTTTTGCCATTAGCTGAGAATAAACATCAGAACTTTGCTAAGCTGCCTGCTCCTGAAATTGGTGATAACAGCTGTAAACAATCTGTTGCATAAGGTTGCTGAATTGTGATCTTCAGATCCAAACATATCATCTAGTTCTATTTGATTGCTTGCTTGCTACCTGAAACTTTTACTGACATTGGTAATGTCAAAGGGTTAAATCACAGGAAAATTTTGGTGATTTCCATCAGGGAAAATGCACTTCACCTTCAGAAAGAGCAGCATGATCAACAGCTTGTTTCAACAGAAGAGCTTTAAATTAATTCTATTGAGGTTTGTTGCTGAGGCAAGGTCTGGAAATGTGTTTTGTCCTAGTGCAAAGTTTAGCTGTACAAATGGATATTACTTTAAAATGTGCCAACTTCCATTCATTTTGTATCTTTAAATGAAGGACATACTTACCTCTGAGGCATGGTTACCTCTAGTGATCCTGTTCTAGCACATTTAAACAGCTCACATGTTGATGAAGAATCTTGCTTATTTTTCTGTTTCCTCAAATTACCCTCTCCATTTTTCTTTTCATGTTCCGGTGCTATTGTGCAAGTAGGTAGGACATATATGCAGAGAATGCTGAAGATTATTATGTTATAGTGGTTCTTACTTACTGTTCTAGCAATTGGACCCATAAGGGTAATGCAATAAGCAAGAGGAATATGTTCAGAAACTCCTAATATGGCTATTATAACAACCATGGATAAATTTGTTTGACAGCATTCACTAGGACCAGTGAAACGAGAGGTTTGATTTTTCCCAGTGTGAACCTACGAGGTGATGCTGATATTGGTGAGCAGGCATGCATAAGTTTTCTGTCCAAGGTGTGTTGTATAAGGCAAAGTTTTTACTCCTATGGGTAGGATGGACATAGACAGCGTTTACATATATATAGAGCCTTTGAAATGTCATTTACCTCCAAGATTTAAATGTAGCCCTTAGCAGAATCAATTACTCCTTGTTCAACAGAACGATATGAAAGGAAACTCAGTATCCCTCCATTAATGTTTTTTTCCTCTTTATAAGAAATCATTTTGAATATTTAGTATGATTGTTTTTGAAAATGGCTATACTTCAAGTAAGATACAGATTTTTGTGTTTGATAAGGATATTGACTAAAGTTTAAAAAAAATTATTCTCCAAATTGATCAATATTTTCATCTATTAATATTTCATATTTCTTTTGACTTTGATGATTCTTTTGCAAAAATATGTAGTCTCTGGAATAATATGAATGCATGTATATGCATTATAATATATGCATGATAGATTTTTGATTGCCTGAGCACCTGTCCTGAAAAAAGCCTGACTGGTAGCCAAATGCATAAAGCCTCTTCCTTTTCAAAAACTATAAATGACAAGAAATATATAACTTTCTAAATAATATAGAGAGTTTATCTGTAGCTTGGATACAGGAAGTTAATAAAATAATTAGCTGAAATTCCAAGTCTGTTATTACAGTATATAGTAAGTAGCTCAGTAGGGAAAATAGACAATAAAGGAAGTATACACAACCTGGACTTCCAGATAGTAATGTCAGCTCTAGCATTGGCTCTGCCTTTAAAGTAGCCAGTTGGGGTTGGAAAAATTGTCTAGAAAAATGGAAATCAAATAGAATGAGGTCTATATATACAAAAAGCAATAATACAATCATTCAAATGAGTACTGTTGAAGTCTGAAGTTCTAATTTACTTAATACCCTTGGAGGAAAGGTATGTAGAAGGCTGATGTCATTATTATTTAGCAGCCCTAAGATACTTGGGCTGTCAGTCATTGAATCAATCGAGCTCACACTAAGCATTACCAAAAATCATTACCATCTACTGACTTTCCAATGAAATGGTCTTTGTGTTATTTGTGATACTCAATCTTTGAAACATTGCAGCCATGCTTTTCAAACTTGAAATTGCAAGTCATTCCAGATAAAAGGTCAGAGCTTTTTCTGATCAAATTGTGCATAGATATTTGCTTGACAAGGCAAAATAAAATCATGTTATCCAAAGAAAATATTACAACCTGGGTTTTTTTCCACTAATCTCTTTTGTAGTGGAAAATTTTGCATTTAAAGGCTGCTGAGTTCTGTCCTTTTGACTCCCTTTTCATTCTTTTGAAATGCAATTACTGTTCAATGAAATGTTATTGCACTATCCTATTTTTGCAGCTGCTCTATGATGTACTGTACAGGGCTGTATTTAAATAGTGTTGCTAAATTTTCTTCCTATATCAATTTATCAACATTTTATAATGAAGTCAAATGCACGAATCATAGTAATTTCTGTGTGTTGTTTTGCAAACACAGGACAATATCTGCAAAGACACATCACCAGGCAAATAACTTCAATATATTTGAAGGAATGGTCTGCCATGGAGTTCCAGTTGTGACAGTTTCAAGAGGCAAAGTGGTTTATGAATGTGGAGTTTTCAATGTCACAGCAGGAGAAGGCAAATATGTCTCCCGTCCACCATTCCCTCCATATGTCTACAAACGAGTCAGACAGCGAGAACAGGTTAATTAAACTAATAAATCTCTGTAATGCCTTGTACCACATGAGGATAACTAGCTCTTGGGAAAAGAAGTTTGGGGATTCAACGGTAATTTTCCTTACTAATCAAAATATGCCAAGGTGGGAGGAAAGGAAACGAAGGACTCAAATTTTATTGCTCTTTATCTTACAGAAAAATATCATAGACTCTTACAGTAGTTTGTCCAGCTTGGGAACTAAGCCTCAGTACTTTTAAAAATAAGCATGTCCTACTTGCAATAAAAGTGGACAAAGTTTTGCTTCTGGGTAATCTAACTGCTACATTTCATCACTGATTTCACTGAAAATCAGAGAGCCCAAATTTCATATGCAGGAAGAAATATTGCACCAAGGAAGAAATAAATTTTTTTAAAATTCTTTCATGGATCAGATATTTTGAGCTAAACCCTGCAGAGCATTGAACATTTTGCTGTGTTCCAGCAAGAATGTGTTAAAATGGAACATCTGCAATGGGCACTGCTGGGCCCAGCAAGATAGCTCTGTTGAAGCTTTTGTTCTCTTCTATTTTTTAAAGAGAAATATCTCAAATACATAAAGATTGGATTTTCAGTGCCTATTTACTGTGCAAGCATCCATGATGCTTTTGCATCCTTAGTGTACTGTGAATAGGATTTTTGAAAGCACAATGAGTAAGTACATTTTAAAATCACCACCTGAATCAGTGGGATTCATTGCAGGATCTAAAAGCTGAATCCATGTGAAATAAGGCCCAGTGAAATGTCCCCAAAATAATTCTATGTATTTCTTTCTTCTGTTGTGTTGATGGACTGAGAAGGGCATGTGAAAGTGGCTGAATGATGCTTTCCTCCACAATTTCACAGGATGTAATGAGCTGCCTGCATGTTCATACACACAATACAGTACCAAAACTAAACTAAACTGAAATTTATAAGAAATTTGATAATTACACAATTCTGAAAGACTTCCATGAACATAGTGGTTTCAATTTCCCATCAAAGCTAGAGAGAATTTTCCCCTAACTCAAATATCAATTGCAGCATGTCTTCAGAAGTGATTTTTCAACCAGCTCAGCCTCCTGCAGCCAGCAACTGGAATAGTGAGTGATAGATATCTACAAAAGGCAGAATTTGCTTTGCTTCATTGATATTTATTTACCCCTCTTACCTGATGTATTAAAAACACCATTGAAAAATGTAAATACTCTAACAAATAGAAGAATCCATAAAATGAGGTGGAACATGCTGTTGTTTCTTTAAAAAATGGATTTAGGTTTGGATTGCTACAGTGTAGAGCAGATTTAGCCTCCAGCTCCTGATGAAATCTGAGAACCAAACAGCTTAATCCCAGTGCAAGAGATCTTTTCCAGGGAGAAGTTAGATTAAAGTATTGGGATGCATTTCATAGAAAGACAGTTTATCATAGGACTTCTGTTTCAATTTCGTCCAATTAGCAATTGCAAGAGAAGACAAAATAGTGAAAGATTTAAAACATTTTATTGCAGGTATGTCAACCTGTTCCTGTCAAGAGGGCACCATATACAGGCACGGTCTCAGGAACCCCTGTCACGCAAAAATAACAGGCTCGTTCCCCAGTTTTGGCTGTTGCAGGTAACCTTCCCTTTTGCTTAGTAAAGACTACTTAATGCTCCTCTGAAACTTCATGAAAACAAAAGGGTAGCAGGCTGTCTATCTGGTGACAGGTTTGTCTGAAATAAGCCCTCTCAGACGACGAATTGTCTTGGTATCTGTAAATTTGACAAAAAGTTCTGGCATCCCAGGCATGAAGAACTCATTTTGATTGGAATCTTATTTAAAAAGTTCAGTTGAAAGGAAGTGATGAAGTTTAGCTGCCAGACTAGGTAAGTTTAGGTGAGACATAGGTATGAAGGCCCACACAAAACCTGGGTTCAGTTAGCAAGAGGGGTACAAAATGAAGCATGACTGTTTGACTTGCAAATTTACAGACAGCTTGATGTGAAAAATTAAATTTGTTAGTGTCCCTGTGTTACAGACAATAACCCCCCAACAAATGTGCTGTTTGGGTTAAGCTGACAGATTTGTTTTGCAAAAACAAAAGCTCTCTTCACAAAAAGAGAAGGCTCCAGGGAGACCTTAGAGCAGCCTTTCAGTACCTAAAGGAAGCCTATAAGAGAGCTGGAGCAGGATTTTTTTTACAAGGGCATGGAGGTTGGACAAAAATGGAATTACACTGAAAGGGAGAGTAGGTTTAGATTAGATATTAGGAAGAAATTCTTTACTGTGAAGTTGGTAAGGAACTGGAACTGTGGAAAGGGAGAGTAAATTTAGATTAGATATTAGGAAGAAATTCTTTACTGTGAAGTTGGTAAGGAACTGGAACTGTTTATCCAGAGAATTTGTGTATGCCCTATCTCTGGAAGCGTTCAAGGCCAAGTTGGATGGGGATCTGAGCGGCCTGGTTTAATGGAAAGCATCCCTGCCCATGGCAGAGGGGCTGGAACTAGATGATCTTTAAGCTTCCTTCCAACCCACACCATTCTGTGATTCCACGAATAAAGGTGCTGCAGGCAGTGCCAGCAGTGTTTGAATTAGTGCGAGCTCATCACTGCTAACAGGAGTAACACCCAGCATCTCCCCTTCCCTGCTCTGCAGTGTTCACAGTGTGTAACTTGGTTATTGAAAGTCCTTGTATATGCCCTGGTGCTTGGCAGACCTTTCTGTGAGCAGAAATCAATTAACTTTGTTTCTTGGGATATGCCCTATCTCTGGAAGCATTCAAGGCCAAGTTGGATGGGGATCTGAGCGGCCTGGTTTAATGGAAAGCATCCCTGCCCATGGCAGAGGGGCTGGAACTAGATGATCTTTAAGCTTCCTTCCAACCCACACCATTCTGTGATTCCACGAATAAAGGTGCTGCAGGCAGTGCCAGCAGTGTTTGAATTAGTGCGAGCTCATCACTGCTAACAGGAGTAACACCCAGCATCTCCCCTTTCCTGCTCTGCAGTGTTCACAGTGTGTAACTTGGTTATTGAAAGTCCTTGTATATGCCCTGGTGCTTGGCAGACCTTTCTGTGAGCAGAAATCAATTAACTTTGTTTCTTGGGTTAGTTTTCTGTTGCCTTGGTGAGTTGAAGTGTCTCTTCACTAGAAGAACCAAGCAAAGATCAATGCAGTGCAGCATATGAGTGGGGTGAGGCAGAGAGGAACAAGGACTAGCAACAGCACCTCACTCTCCAGCTGTTTAACAAGCAGAGGAAATGTTTCAGGAAAAGGTAAAAACCAGGCAAGTCCTTCAGCAAGCACAGTCAAGCCATGCTGCTGCTGTGTGCCAACTGCAGCTGAAATGCTGTCTGCTACAGCAGGGGAGTTGATAAAAATGGGTTGGGGGAACAGTGAGCGACAGGAAGCATGCCAAAATCCAAGCTGAAGTTTTGGGTGCAAATGTGTATCAACAATGAGATCAGCTAGTTTGAGAAATGATTTCCCAATAGGTGAAGAGAAAGCCCCAGTCTGTACCTCAGACAAAATGAGTCTGTTCTTAGTGGTAATTAATATGGGACGGGAACAAACCTGCTATGGTCGGAGGGTAAAATGAACTTTTCCACATTTCATGGTATAATTCTTTAAAGCTACCTTACAGTGAGCCTCATCCAGGGCATCAGTAGCAGCAGCAGAGTGTAGTATCCTATTTGTTTTTCTCTGTCCTTAGGGAAAAGATTTTCTAATAGAGAGGACTAAAGGCTAAAGCTTCAGTAGAGTGAGGCAGCAATAATCATTCTTTCTAGCTCCTAGCACTCCTTCTCCGTTATTACCTCTGAGTGACAAATTGCAAAGAAGAGATTTTCTTTTGAAAGATGATATTGTATTTTCTTTTTCTTCTCTGTAGATAAAAGCAAATGAAAATGACCTTGCTGCCCTCACCAGCAGCTCCTTCTGGGTCCAGCAATCAATCCACAATCAACTTCTCAAGAGCTAATATGAAACAATAACCAATAAGCATTATACTTTGTTTCCTACATAAAATTGCAATTGAAATTTATCTTTGAAAATACTTTTGCTATAAGAACTGGAAAATTGTTTTAGAAAATGGAGTACTAATAAGAAAACCCCTGCAATTACAATGCCACAGCTCTGTACATTCTTAAAAGTGTGTAAGTTTTGGGATGGTATTTCTTAATGTTTATCTTTACAAGGTATCAGCTACTCAATAAAGTAAAAGCAATGAACAATGGTGTTTAAGAACATTTTTTAAACTCCTGCTCCATTGGGTCTCAAGAGATGAATCCTAATTCACTAATTTTATATGGTAGGAAGACCTCTGTTGTGCTTGGCAATGCAGAGAATTCTGACAGCAGATGCTGATTTTTTTTATTTTTTTTTTTTTTTAATTTTCTCTGTCTGGAAGGGGTCAGTACCATAATATGCTGATTCAGAACACTCACTATTTGGGGCTGCTGCCCCATCTCCATGTCACTATCTTTAAAGAACTTTATAAATTTTGTCCCTGCCAACTGCACCACCAAGCTTTTTTTGGCAGGTTCAGCTACTTCCCTTGTTGAGAAACAAGGGAAAATGGCAAACCTATGCCAACCATAATTGTGAACTCATCTACAGTAATACTTTGTGTTCTGGCTTTATGGAGAGACACACACCCATCTCCTGAAGGCTTATGAAGTGAGATCACCAGAGCAAAACCATAATGCATTAATATAAAAAAAACCTTTCAACTGAAAATAAGGGTTTTCCCAATGTAACTAATACTTTGTTTTTTGTAGGCTAGGATTCCTAATTTTAAAAACATCTCTTTGGCTCAATTTATCTAATTTCCATTTTCAGAGGTTGTAGTACTTTCAGAAACACTATTCTGCTACCATGTCTACACAAATTTTGATTTGCATCAAAAGTTGCACTTTCATATGTAATAGCTCTTCTTTTTAAGCAGCTGCCACTGGGAAAAATTTAAGAGAGTGTCATGGGTTAATCCCAGCTGGCAGCTAAGTACCACACAGACATTTGCTTGATTCCCCCCGCCCCAGGTGATGGGGAAGAGAATCAGAAGAGTAAAAGTTAGAAAACTCTTAGGTTGTGATAAAGACAGTTTAATTGGTAAAGCAAAAGTCACGCCCACAAGCAAAGCAAAACAAGAAATTCACTCCCCATTGCCAGGCAGGTGTTCAGGCATCCTCAGGAAAGCCCTCTGAATGTTCCCCCTGCTTCTGCCCCCAGTTTTACATGCTGAGCATGAGCATATGGTCTAGGGTATTCCTGGGATCAGTTGAGGTCAGCTGTCCTGTGTCCCATCCCATCTCCTTGTGCATGCCCAGCCCTCTTGCTGTTGGGATGGGTGAGAAACAGAAAAGGCCTTGATGCTGAGTGAGCATTGCTCATTGATAATGAAAATAGCCTGGAATTATCAATTCTGTTTCCAGCACAGATCCAAAACATATCCCCACACTAGTTACTGTAAAGTAAATTAACTCTACCCCAGCACAGAGAGAAACGAGGCCAATACAAAATCACTTGTACAGTGATTTGGCTGTCCCATGTGTAGAAACAATGTAAGCTGTACTGTGCAACCCACAGGCCAAACAGGCACAGAAAGTGCTGAGTATCTTAAGACACACTAAGCACATTAAGCACCCATTAAACATATGATAATTATTATTATTTTTGACAGTGGAAAGCAGACTTGTAGTTCCTGCTATTTTCATAGGCATACAGTGGTGTATGAACTTTTAGGAAAACAAACTCCTATTAGGTCAGTAGTTCTTGTTTCTCTAAACAGAAAAACAGGGTTTTCCTTATAAGATGTTGGAAGATAGTAATGGGTATGGTTGAGAAGGTCTAGCACCAGTTCCCATTTCTCAGGTTTATCTTTGGGGTGGTAGAACAGCAGAACCAACCAACAATCCAGCACTATTACAAGGAAACAGAGTTCACTGCTCAGTACAGACCTCTGTACTGTCAGGTTCTGCATCTCAGTTTGTTGTCCAGTCTCCCTTTACAATCAACAGAGAAGGAGATGCTTCTGCAACTTTTTTTTTTTGTCTCTGCATCAAGATCTCCCACAGGTTAGATGAATCTGTCTGGAGCTGTTCTTTGGGATGAGGGGGGCAGTTTTCTTGCAATGTTGGTTTGTCTCCATTGAATATTTCCAAAGGTTATACAGGCTGTGTAACTGTGTTGCAGACTTCTACTCTGCAGCTGCCTTCTTCCACTCAGCCCATCTTTACCTCTCAGATCTGGAACTTTCTTGTATGAAGGATGCCTGTTTTTTCTTAGGTTTTGTCTCATCAACAGTACAGGTCAACCATGAATCTATTCTTTCTGATTAATTTTTTGCTACATAGGAAGAAGAGCAGAAATTTGATAAGAGTAACCTCCAAACTATGAACATGTATTGTCTATGGAAAAATGTATGATATTTTAAGGTCTCCTACTCATTTTTATTAGATTAGAAATGAGTGAGCTTCCTCCTGTATAATTAGCAAAGAATTCCTGTTCCCTATGTTTGTACTTACTGCTCTGTATCATGGACTGTACTTCCTATAGGGCTGTACTATTTTTTGTTTAAGAAATACCTACTTTTTAATTCCAG